ATATCTTAATGTTACCTCAATCCTGGGATGTCAAGCACATCTGCCACATTGGTTAGATTGAAGTCAATAGCCTAGAGAAATAGCAAAAAATGAAGTTAATTCTGAATGAAGCGTAAGAAAGGGAAATGACCCACTCAATCCCAAAAGCCAACAGGAAACCTGAAAATGTTTGAAAGACTACGTAATATATCAGAATCTTTGTAATGGTTCTTTGTCAAGAGAGGATGAGTTCAGTGACCCACGCCCTTGTTCAATTATGTAACTGCAGCTGTTACCAAGAGCAAATAGACAATTTTCCTCCAAACAATAAAAACATTCAAAGGACTGATCTTGAAACGAAATTGTTCAGGCTTTCATGCTCCTTTGTAGTATTGCATTACAATGGGTCTGCTTTGAACAAGACAAGCAAGAAAACTGAGAAAATGAAGCAAAGCAAATACTAGATATTTGCTTTGCTATTTTGGATTGAGGGGTTTTTCAGTTTCATGATTTTTGACGATCAGCGTTCAATTTACACAGATGTTTATGGGACTTAGAAGTCTCTCAGCATTCAAGCGTACACAAAATTGCCAATAGAAAGATGCATATTTGAAAAAAAACATGCGCCACCGTGGACTTTGAACGTTGCTTGAACTGCCGTTGCCCGTCAAGTGACATCATGTGAAAAACCTCCATACAGTGGGCATCAGCATTTGTTTGCAACATTTGTTTTATTGGTTGTGCTTTTCTTTCAAAGAAAACGGGTCCCTTTATAAAGGAAAGAAGTCGGGGGGGGGAGTCCTTACCGGTTTGTTGAGGAAGTAAATCGACATTCCGCCCACCAGAGGTACCTTGTCCACCAAGGGTTTCATTTCAACTCGCAGGGTGCCGTGGAGCTGCAAAACACACCATTGCAAAGTTTATGGCCAACTTGTAAACAGATAAAATCTTTCTCTAAATTTCATCCCATGGATTACCATCACATTTTCATGTATACTTGTCTGTGCATGTACATGTATGTCTGTCTGCTTGTCTGACTGTTAGAATGAAGTCAGAAAGTACTTCTCTGACCATAAAGGTGGTGTTACCTGACTCAAAGCAGGTAGATTTCAAATATGAGGTTTCAAACCCATTATTAAGCATGATGCATTTGTTTACACCCCCAGCAAGTAAAAAATTGATGTCTAAATTTGACAGGTGTAATTTAAAAATGCATTGCAAAATTCTGCAAACTTTTCACTTGACATGCACAAAACCCATTTTCACTTCTGCTGAAACCAAACTTTATTATGAATATATATCACATATATATGGAAAAACCTTATCATGAATACTTATAAACTCCATATATGTACATGTATAGGCACTACATTTGCAGTAATGTACATGTATGTATTTCCTCAACTTTTATACACATTCATGAACAAACACATCATAAATATATGTAGGTAATCAGCATCTGCTGTTTGATCCATTTTAACACAATTATTCATGAGCTACCAGTAACTTATCACGCATATGAATACAATACGCTTGACACTGTAGACAAATATCCATGAACTATAATTGAATACAATCACTGCCAGCTACTTTTTCATCCTTGATATGAATATCCATAAGCTTACCTGTAGGCTCTCAATGCCTGCCTTGATTCGTTTCAGAGCTTTGACACTAATCTCAATATCACAGTTGCCCGCATAACTGCAAAACACAAGCCAAACGTACACACTTCAGAAACAGGCACATACAGTTAAATGTTATTGCTGCAATAAATCAACCAAGCAGATCAATGAGAATATTGCATGTTGTCTGGAAAATCTGTGTACCGTACATGTAGCTTCTACCATGCCCTAAAAGAACAAAAACATCACTCAGTCTTTAAACATGTACATACATGTACACTAGTTTTCAATTACGGATTGTTCAATAAACAATCCGTAAAACTCCCTGTGATTCTATTCAACTGAATTATGTTGTGTGGACAATAAAAATCTGTCATAAAAATTACACACAGAGTGTATCACCCTCTGGCAATTATCCAAATACTATTTGTAGACGATTGTTTGGAATCTTTTCTTCATATGAAAAATGTCAAAATCAGATTGCTGATGTGTACATTTGTGGATTTCTCGCATAAGAAGTGAGCCCTCATTTGATGGAACAGAGAGAAGCTTGACTGACAATTGAACACTTGCTGCCAAGTGACACATGCACACACTATACATGTAAGGCTACATGTATGCATCGAAATTAAAAGACAGACCACAGATGTACCCAACCAATGAGCTCAGGAAGTAATTCTTCTTTATGGAGCCAGGCACTAATAATAAACGATACAAATCACTTACCGGATGTATATGGTACTCTTTAAGACAAAGAAAACTAAAGGTTTTGAAAGGTTTGGTGGGAACTCTCCAAATCAAAAACAGACATGTGGAAAGCAAGAACAGAGTTCACTTTCATGTCCAAAGGTACCAGTAAGTAACTTATGAGCACTTTGGCTAACAGGCAACTAGACTGCATTTTTGTGTTAGCTTTTTCCCGCTTTATTCACACATATGAGTTAAAGGTACAATGTACCAAGGTAGCCATGTTTATGTGAATATGGTAACAAGTTCCAATACTTCCTGCAGATGCTCACCAGGATGCATGCAGCACCCACACAGACTCCATAGATTTATGCATTATAGAAAACTGCAATATACACTGTGCCAGGCACAAGTGGGTCAGTCCAACAAGACATTGTTGCTAAGCAACAAAGCTAACTCTCTCACTTTTTGATTACTGCACAACAGCACAGACTTTCTTTAACAGCTCAATTTCTTAAAAAAATCCCTTTAGTGTAAGTTACTGACCCTGTACTGTCTGTTCACAAATTTGAATATTCCCAGGTAAAACTATTTTATCAATAGCTGTTCCCATATCAGCACTACCAGCAAAATTGATCCAATTTCCCATGGTTTTAAGGCATGGAGCAAAAAACGGGTCCATTCCTTTGCCCAGCAGATATGCCAAAAATACAGTAACAAAAAAAAATTATGACAGGGTATCTAGACCTTTTATCCAGGGCTTGCTCCTCTGCAGAGAACAAAAACAAATGTCTGACTCAACCTGCCACTTTCAACAAAAACTAACACTTACTCCTATGGAACATCCACTCACTCTGGTTCGCTGGTTCTGAAAAACTTAGTATCCGTGACATCTCTAGCACAAACTGTATTCAAAAATTGCAGCCTACTACATGCACATATGAGACCAATAGTACACACCAAAAATATATGGCCAACTTTTAGTTTTTAGAAATCAAAGTCTAAACAATGCAAATTACAGTGCTGTATTCCATACTTGCAGTTTTCCCAATCTCACCGACTGATATAAACAACCCATGGAAAATGTTATATGTACATGTACATGTGTACATATCAGTACAATGTATGAACGTAAAGGTTTTACCTTCCCAACAATCAATAATACATATATTCACATTGACTCTTTCACTCCTTTTTTTGGTGGGGGAAGTGGTTAACGGATACCCTGAAGAGTATCTTCCTGTTTAACTTACAAGAGCTCCAAATCCAGGATGATTTCATCTCGGCCGACTTGATCAGTGTACACCTTGACTCCTCCAATACGAGGTGGCTAAAATTGCAAACCGAGAAAAAAACTTTGGACTAAACATCCTCTGAAAACAAACATTCATGCTTGTAATTGTACATGACTTAACTCCTAACCTCAGCTGTTCCCTTCAAAGAGAAAATTCTTTATTGCTTTCATTTTTTTTTCACTTGAATGTCATCATTTGTCTTCAAAATTGATGGACACACTATTTGCACTTCACTTCCACCTAAATCAGCAGCTACCTGCATAAATAACACATTAATATCATTCAAAAGAATGAAACTACCCTAATGAAAACAGCCATTCAAAACGGGGGTCCATCAATTTTAATTGCACCTATTTACATGTACCCTGATATTCAAACAGGTCATCAAATAACTGATCATTCAAAAGTCCTTACAATAGAGTTCTGTTTGAGAGATGCGTACACACAGAATCTACACTCTCTCTGAGATATGCAGAGAAACGAAAAGGATCATTTTTCACATGGATATTTTGCTATGACCAATGTTGCTATTTTTCACTTTCCTGTAATAACAATGTTTATTTTAAACAAATATCATAATTTCGTACATGATTATTACCCTTCGTTGGTGTGTTTTAAAACCTTCCATTTTCCCCTTAGAAATTCAGTGCTGCCACTTCGACGCACATGTAACATACATGTGCCTGTCTGGTTATTTTAACACAATTTCATTCTTGGATAAAAGCCAATACTTCCAAAATGTCTTGCCCATAGACACAATTACCACAGGTTTCACAACTCCACAGGCTAGACTCAAACCCACAATGTGAGGGATTACACATCACAGCTAGACTACTCTATCATGTCTACTGTGTATCCAGCAAGCAATCCTAACAATACAATCATAACACAATACAAAGTCTGTGATTTCTGTGATTTCACCACCCTCATTCCCATCAATTCAAAACCTTGCAGATTTTCCACTATCAAATTTAAGTGACTGTTATACACAACAGAAACAATGCAATACAGTTTACATGTATGCAGGTCAGCTGACCTTCCAAACTATTTGTTATTATAAGTGCTAGAATACATGCCACATACACAGTCGACCTTACACTATATACTGGTACATGTACTCCAAAGACTACAACTCAGCTCTGTGCGGTCTAATAAGCCTGAATTGTATAACGTAGGTGACCCGACTGATAGTCGTCAGGGCTCTTACTGTGCCCCTTCTGTGGAAACCAATCAGACATGACAATAGTTGACAAAATTAGGGACCTGGTGACTACACAGTTACCCATGTTCTACCGGTACATGTATGTAGCCTCCAACTTAGAAGGCTGTTTGTTGGAGCCTTCCAGACTTGTAATTCCTGCATGTGTATTCAGTTACTGAAGGATGTCCTCACAACACAGTAGCATGTCCTTGCTTTGAGTTCCTTCCAGTAGGGTTTGAAATTTTACACTTACAATGTACTGTACATGCCAACTTACGTATGTGCCAAGTTTGATGGTTTCAAACTTGAAAGACTTCAGGTACGAGGGCAATGCTTTCAGTACCGCTGGCTCTACTGTGTCTCGCAGCATAGTCTCTACATACCCCTCAATATAGGGCCACATCTGTTTGACCATCTGCAAAATTCATATTCACTGAAAGAGTTTACACAGTATAATTAAATACCACATGACAAGCCCTAACCCCCTAGGGTGTATGTAAAATCACATTGAAATCAGAGGATTTGAGACTGTTAGAGCTATGTAACATCAAAATGTCAGGTTCCAGAGTGTATACAATTTCAGTACTTTTCCTTCACCCTCTGTGATTTTACAGAACTCCAAACATTTGGTTCTTTTGGCTTGAGCTATTCATTCTCAAATGAAAGACGGAGACAGATGATTATGGCTGGGGTGGCAGAGGAAGGGTACAATAATCAGCATTCATCCCTAATTTGGAGGGTTTGACAGGATGAACTATACACAGAGATGTTAATTTTCAAGTACAAAAAAACTAACATATTTATCATGGGGGTACAACGGATTAAAGATACAAATGAAAACTGACACAACATATACATGTACAAACCTTGTTAAGCCACTCTGCTCGCTCAGTATCGGGGAAGTACACCTGTTTTCAGAGAAGAGAGGAGATTTTGTTTCAATCTTTGAACCATAAAAACTGACACCAAGAAAACTGAAACATCCTGTTTTTGCTGTAGTTCTTACATACGAGTCCTTTCCTTCCAATCTGTGTGTTTACTCAGCTTCCATCTTTTTAACTGAATGAAGATGTATGTACCTTTAATGTTACATATACGCTGTACATGTTTGTCACTAGAATGAATGAATGAATGTGGATAACTGGAATAAATGATGCATGTATATGTTCACTTTTGTTGAAATACAGGCTGCGGTTCATTTACAGTATTCTTAATTGATTTTCATTACAAAAAAAAATTGCAGAGTGAACTCTTGATGATACATGCACAAACTACATAACCCTGTCCACACTTTCAAGAGTCAACCAAGATAAGCCATGCAAATTTTGATGAAATGCAAATTTTTACTACAACCTTTGAAAATGCACCTTGTGATTTGTAAAGTTACATATTCATGAGCAAATCTGTGATGTTATTCTAGGGAGAAAACCTACACCTAAATGTTGCACTGATTTGTCAAAAAAAGTGCTGAACTTCTTTATATTCTGCTTTCCCTAATTTCCTTTCTGTGATGGAAGAAGCCTTTTCTCAAAAAACGTCTTCAATTAGCATATTTTGGGTTTATAATTTGAGCAGAAAAACCAACACATCAAGCAGAGTCTTTCCTATTTATGACATCACAGTAACAGACCCTCAGTTGCCCAGAAAAGCAGACGATTTGAAATGTTTAAAAAGTGCACTTTTCAATCAAACCAACCCCTGAGGAATGCCATTATAGTTTTTACACACTGAAGATTATGAAGCTAACCAAAAATAGTGCCTAAACAGTTTAATAAAGATACGCATGCATACAGAACACCAGAGGGATCAGTAAATTCCCTGCATTATGTGATAGTGGAGCCAATGTAAGGAGAGCAATACCAACATGTACCAGTATCTTCTCTTTTCACTCCCAGCACCCCCTTGTCTTCCCCTATCCCCAGAAAAGCAGCATTAGTAATTTTTATAAGTAACGAGTAAGTAATAAGTAATAGGTCTGCAACAAAAGTATACAAGCAGAGCCTTAGGGACTCTTTTGTTTCACATGGATCTGTGTCACAATCAGTGAGCCTAGGGCTGGTTCACGTTATCCTTATCGTGAGTTCTGGAACCAACGACAGATCACTGATCGCGACCAGATCCACGAGAGACAAACATGCTCTTAATGTCTACACATGCACATGTCCCTTCAAGTCATCACAAAAACTGTGGCAACAGTACTACTCCCACGACCATTTCCTTTCCCAGAGCAAAAATTCAAAACTTGATGCACATCAAGCAATCTCTGGTTAATATCCCCATGTACATGTACATGTACATGTTGCTTGTCTCCCTCAAATGAACCATAATTTCTTTCCTTTTACTCTGCTTCTGTGACCCTGCTACCATTTTTTTCAGAGGTTGTGACAAAGAGTGTCCTTGATTGCCTTGGTAAAATCCCACATAGGGTCTGAGCAATGTAACATTCATTCATTTTTGATATTTACATGTGGCTTGTGTTTGCCAGATAAACAGTGCCAAATCAAAACAGAAAATCTGAAGTTCTCGTCTTGGAATGCTGGTGACCTAGGTTCATACCCCACCAAAATCACATTAAGCACCTCCTGTCATCCTTTAATACATGAAACCATAGGTTTCATCTAAACTATTTTTTTCTTTCTAACATTGCATTTTTCCCACTTTGCACACTGCAATTCCCTGACTCTCCATTAGTATTTATTTCATGCTCAATGCAAAGTGAACTTGAATAAGAATTTCTGGTTGAACATCAAATAGTTTATGCACAAAATGCAAAGCACATCTTTAATTTTAGCAAATTTTTCTGTGCAGCTTACAGACATCAAATTCACTTTGTTTAACTGGCATCTGTGTCAGGCCACCCCCCAATAGTCGGTCTATGTTCAGCGCGCGTCGATTTTTAATGTGTGCGTTAATTTTTTTCCCCCATATTCTACTCAAAATTTTCAAAACATCGGCGTATCAATTCTGGAACTTTGGTCTGACCAGAGACCAAGTATTTTGGGGGGGGGGCCTTAAGTATGAAACCTTCTTGCGATGATCAGGAAATCATAACAATATTTTGTTTTTAAATTATAACAAATATTCAAGTATGCATCCCATTTTAATGCAGATTTCTATTCCTGTTGTAAATGTAAACATGGCAACAGCCCAAATGTTTCCAGATCTTTTAGACACATCTCAGAGCAATATCATACATGGATCTTGAGCCTCTGATGTCAGTGGCAAAATTTTACTCATTGGAATCAACCTCCAACATACCAGATGATGACCTGTAATTCCCTTCGGGCTGGGGAGACTTCAAGATGAGACTCAAACAAATAAGCCTTTTGCGAGTTAACTTTGACCCAAATCTGGTACACAAAGTTCTTTAAATTCCCTTGAACATACATGTAAAAACTTGAACTCCCTCACTAAAACCACTGTTGCTATCTACCTCTTGATTTAGGGCAAGCTTTTGCTTAGTTACATGAGAGACGCCTTGCAACAATACATGATTCTCATTGGATAAGGAGGGCACAAAGGAACCAGTCCATTCTAGAGATGGTGGTTGCTATGCGAAAGCTTGCCCAGAATCACGAGGTATAGCAACAATGTCTTTAGTCTGCGGAATTCAAATTGTTATGTTTACATGTATGTGCAGTCAGATATTCAAATTTAACTCACAAAATGGCTTATTGGAAGCGTGTTGGTGGATATTTCTAGATACAATATATATAGTGAAGGCAGATCGTGATTTCTGTATTTGTTTGCTAAAACAAACTTCTCACAGTCAGCTGCAAATCTAAACATTACCATGGCATATGTAATTGTGCATTAAAAGGCAGCTGGCTGTAGAAAACACAGGTACCCCTGCACGCAGTACATACATGTACATGTAAGTATACCAGAATGTACTACATTGACATATACATGTACAATTCTCCTGCCAATACATGTACATGGATACATGTGCAAACATGCTCACTGACCTTCCTCACAGTACATACACTCTGGCAAATTTAACTGACAAGAGTCCTGTTAAATTTTATGGTTAACATACTGTCTATGATAAGACAGAGAGCAGGGATACAGCTTCTATGATTAAGAACATGATCTTTACTGGCTTCAACACAAGGCTGCTTGACCAATGGCAGCGAAACAATTTTCAAAGTGGGGAGGGGCCATTTGTTAGAAGTTAACATCAGACATTTAAGGACCTACCAAAGGTGGGGGGATCATTACCCCCAAGTCCAACAAGTGAGGAGGGAGGGTGAGTGGCT